CTGTGCAACACCTCTCATTTAAGAACTTTTTTACAGTTATTTGTACATACATTAGCAAATTAATTTGTGTAAGTATTAAACAGAAATTTACATAATAAATTGTATATATAAATATAAATCAGAAAACTCTTGACCCCTAAAGGATTCAAACGCTGTCAGCCAGGGCCTCCATGCCCTTTAGCGAGTCCAGTACTTTAACCTCTTCTCTTCTTGAGGTTATCTTGAGATGATTTTTTTTTTTTAGTGTCCCCGCGGCCCGGTCCTCGACCAGGCCTCCACCCCCAGGAAGCAGCCCGTGACAGCTGACTAACACCCAGGTTCCTATTTTACTGCTAGGTAACAGGGGCATAGGGTGAAGGAAACTCTGCCCATTGTTTCTCGCCGGCACCCGGGATCGAACCAGGGACCACAGGATCACAAGTCCAGTATGCTGTTCGCTCGGCCGTCCAGCTCCCATTGGATGATAGGCCATCATCTCGGCCAAACTCACTGTACAAAAGTATTAGAAGGCGTCTGATCCTTTACCTGCTTGACCCTTAACCCAATACCTGACAGCTCTCATTGGTCATTGAAGGCGAGGACGGTCTTCTACTGCACAAGCAATACCAAACCTTCCACACTTAGATCGTTCACCCTGTAACTTGCTTGCAAGCAAATCTAGCAGGTAGCGGATGGGTCCTCACATCAAATTTGTATTCAGTGCTTGAGGCTTTGGGCTGGATCCCGAGCCAGGTCAAATTAATGACAATGTTAATTAAGTAGCAATGTTGATGAAATATGAAATATGGTTGCAGGCAGTACTTCAAAATGAAGAATGACATCAAAGGCACGTGTACAAAAAAAAAAAAGATTTATTCAACAACTTACTATCTAATACACAGTGACCCACGTGCATTACGTTACTTAAGAGTGTCACCTAAACAACTGTCAAAACACCTCCTCACAGCAGGAATCCTTTCCCACCACTCTGAGAGGTGGGAAAGAAACCACAGTCTCGACCAAATAGACAGGTTGTAAACAAAAGTGAACTAACTGAACACTTTGTGAACACTCTTGGCAATTACTGCACTCGCCACTAGTGGTATCAAAACACTTCAGCATCACAATAAATTAACACACGTAAATAAATGCAAAAAACCAGCGTTGAATGTAATGAAACGCCATTTTCTGTGTGAGTTCCAGAGGCTCCCTGGAGCTATCCAGGCTGATAGGGATAGTCCTAACTTTTGGTATCAGTCGATGTGGGTTAAGTTCTAGGCCTACCGGGGACCACGGCCAGAACCTGGCCCCCTCAGAGTGGCACAAGGAGTAATGGCCTTTAGAAATGCACATGTGATTTTGGACCATTCTATATCTGCCATTGATCGGGACAGGCACCCAGAAAGGTAAGCGCCTCAAAACAAACCTTTATTCTGGTAAAACCAAGGAAAATAACGAAACAAATAGACAGAACGCCCTCAAGGGAAAACGAGCAAGCAAGCATGACGTCACACGAGCCGAGCCACATGTCTGCGCAGCTCTCCCCTCCCTGGGAGGGAAAAGGGGGAGCCCAAGAACCCCCATGCCAGCGATCCACACCTCCAGTTCCGAGGCTAGATATCAAAATATGCGAAAACCGACGACCAGAGGGAGGTAGGGTTGCCAGGGAGCCTCCAGGACTCACCCAAAAAATGGCGTTTCATTACATTCAACACGGGTTTTTTTGGGAGTGTCCTTATGACTCCCCAGAGCTACTTCACCAAAGAATAAGGAAATAAAGGGACTTACCCAGGAGATGGTCGGTGCTCCACACCTCAACTCTAAGTCGAGACAGGCTGCAGCCGCTGACCCAAAGCGACACAGGCCTAACAAAGCCCAGGAACGTTCACGAGGTAGCATGCAGCGAGGACCCTATTCGACCATTAAAAACCTCGCGCCCGAGTGTCAGCCCAGTACATGTTCCCAAAAACGGCAGCAAGAACAGCGAACTTACAAACGTCATGGGCATGGGGATAGACTGTGTGAGGGGATAATGTGTGGCCACCTGATCACCATACAAATGGTGATAAACTCGAGTCAAAAATACCAAATGCGAAGACTCAAGGAGAAGAGCGATCCAGTCTCGTAATGGATCGGGCTGATCTTCTGAAAGAGGCGGAGCTGTGGAAAAACCTCCGGGTTCAGACCCCGGGCAAGCAGCGCCTGAAACCAAAGCTGGGGCCAGCCACCACGGGGCCAAGAGGACAACTCGCCCCTGGTAGTTTTCTAAGCGAGCCAGGACCTAGAGCAACAGCTGAACTGAAGGAAAGAGGTACAGGAACCCCTTACCTCGACCAGTCCTGCCGAAAGGCATCGATCACAACAGCCTTGCGGTCGGGGAAGAGCACCAAGCATACAGGAAGACGCCTCAACCATGCCGACGCAAAGAGGTCCACCTCGGGTTGCCCGAACGTTTGATAGAGCCAACTGAATGAGTCGGCATCGAACGTCCTTTCCGTGGATTGGGGAACAAACCGGGACAGGCTGTCCGCCAAGATGTTGGACACCCCCCGGACGTGAACCGCCAGGAGAGCCAAACCCCCGAGAACTCAGCAGATGAGTCACCTGAAGCAACCAACCCTAAATTAAGAGCCTAGGACTGCATCGAACCCCCTAGGTTCAGGCAATGAACCACTGAGGAAGCTGTCCAATTGGAGCTGGATCATCGAACCGCAGGCGACCGAACCGTCAGAAGCCCAAAACCACGCCGCCGCAAACTCCCGCACCGTGCTGTTGACCCGATGCCAGGATGGACCCCACCGCCCCTTGCTGGCCTGGTGATCACTGGTCACAAAGCCCCAGCCGAGAGACGATGCTTTCGTGAACGCATCGAGCGAAGGCTCGGGTAGGCGCCAAGGCACCGAACCCAAAAAAAACCGAAGACGAAGCCGACGATGCAGCAGCTGACGTAAGGCCCTCAGGAGTTGAACCCAGCGATCGCGAGAGAAGCGGACGGGATGTCCCCGAAAGAACCAGAACAGCCAACGAAGCCAAACCCGACCCGGCAGATAGACCATCGTTGCAAAGTTCAGGCTCCCGCACAGACCCTTGAGCAACCGCTCGGTGGCCCGGGAGCCCCCCAGAAACTAGCGCATGCAGGAATGCAGCCGAAAGAGAGACTCCAGAGGAAGAGACAAGGAAGCGGTCCAAGAGTCCCACACAAGGCTCAGCCATGACCGAATCTGGGAGGGGAACCAGATGGGACTTCCGCCAGTTAACCTGGAACCCAAACCTGGCTAGCCAGGAAAGCACCACACGCTTGGCAAGCAGCCACGCGGTTCGACTGGGAGCCCAAACCAGCCAGTCGTCGAGGTAAGCCAACACCCGAACACTTAACAGACGCAGACTGGCCACTACGACCTGTGTGAGACATGTGAACACGCAAGGTGCCAGCTTCAACCCGAACGGGAGACAACGCAAGCGGTAACTCTGATGCCCCACCACAAAACAGAGCCAGTCCCTGAACCTCGGATGAACTGGGACGTGCCAATACGCATCCTTGAGGTCCAGGGTTACCATCCAAGCGCCCGGCTCCAAAAGAAGCTGGACCTGGGACAGAGTTGTCATCCAAGAGGAGGGGCAAATAACCCAGGGGTTTAGACAGGACAAATCCAGAATGAACCGCAGGTCTGCACAGTCCCGTTTCGAAACTGGAAACAGGCAGGAAAACCACCTGAGGGACATCGTCGTTCCTACCACGCCCAAGCGCACCCACTTCAAGAAGACTTGACAGAGCGCAGGAGAAGAGGCTTACCCTGCCCGCCCCGAACACCCAGAAGGAGGAGGAACTACCAACGCCACCGAAGGCCGTGAGCAACGGTCCGAAAAGCCCACAAATCGTGGAACTCGGGTAGGCGCCAAGGCACCAAACCTCCCAAAAAACGAAGAGGAAGCCGGCGACACAGCATCTGACGTAAGGCCCCCAGGGGTCGAATCCAGTGATCACGAGAGAGGCGGAAGGGATGTCCCTGAAAGAACCAGAACAGCTGACGAAGCAAAACCCAACCCGGCGGGTAGACCATCATTGCAAAGTTCAGGCTCCTGCACAGACCCTTGAGCAACCGCTGGATGACCCAGGAGCGGGAGCGAGAGCGAATAGAGCAAGCCTCCTCCTATTGCCCCGTCAATGGGGGGATCCGTGAAAGGGCCGATGCCCCTGACGAGAACCCAACCTGCGCACAGAGTGAGCACCGTGCCGACCAGACGCAGCCAGGACAGAAGGCTGCACCGGGTCTGAAACTGGCACCTGTGGACCACCTTGATGGGTGGAACCGCGGGCCCTGGCACGACCTCTCTGGGAGGAACCCACTCAGGACCCCTGGAGAACCAAAAGGTCAGACATCGGGCGGCAGCTGAAAGAAGCCCCCAGCATATACTGTTCGACCGCAGAAGCAGCAAACAGCAAAGGACAAAAGGGCGAAGACAATCTAAGAGCCAGGGCCCAAGCGGAATCCAAGGAACTGAGTACCACCTCTGACACACGAAGCATGCAGCGAAAAACCGCAGCATCGCATCCCACAAGATTTGCGCAAACGGCTTTAAAAGGGCAGACGACACATGAGCAGCCGAGGACAAGGCGCTAGACCCAAGAACGGCCCCAAGCGCCTCTACATCCTCTGTAAGCTAATCCAAAAACAGCTCAAGGAGGGAAAAGAAGTGCAGGACCGAAGCTAATGAGCCTCGTGCAAGCAAGTCCTCAGCCGCAAGCGCCCCACCTGAAGGAAGATAGGTTCATTATAGAGGCATAATCCGGGTCGCATAGGAGGTAAGCTGCAATGGCCGCCCACACCTCAGGTGGAGAGATGCAAGAAGCCAAAAACCTCCGGAAGGACAGAACCAAAGGACCCGCAGGGACACAGAACCGAACCCCGGGGAGGAGCCATGCCCAAATCCAAAGAGGGCTGGAAAACCCAGGCGGGGTCCAACGGGGACCAAGGCCTCCAAGTCAGCTCCTCCCCAACCCCAGGAACCTCCACATCAAG